AGTTGCGCTTCACTTATCTGAGGCTCGATTAGAGGTAATAGTCTTTTCTATAGAATATTTTCCCGCTGCGACTCAAAAAGGAAGATGCCTCAGTATTGTGTGCAGTCTCTTCTACTGGCGTGCATTTCTATACTGGATCGTGGCTCTGTCTTCCCCAGTCTCGTCGTGGCTGTTGTTTCACCCTCAGACGGTTAAACTTTGACCTACTTCAGAGCAGATCTAAAGTAGGTCATGGTTAAACCTCCTGTGCAACAATGCTATTCATTTCGTAAAAGGAAACTAACTAGTGGTTTGCTGAAATCGGTTGTGTTTGGACGAAAGGCGCAGAAATCGCATCCATGTAAACCCCAACACACAGTGTGTCAACCAATCTTTTTACTCCTTCAGTACCAAGCAGCTCACCTTACGTTTTTGGGTCCTTCCAAAAGCAATATAATGCCCGTGCTGTCTTCTATCACAGGCACACATTTTATTTACCATTCGTATCTGAATTAGTTAGTTAGTTATTCCTCTTGTGCCAAAGATGGCGCATAGGGCAGAGGTCATAGCTTTCCACGTCTGTCGGTTCTTTGCCACTTGATGTAGGTCTTGAGTGCGACTGAGACCTATGGTTGAGCTCTCCCTTGTGATGGTTCTACGGAGAGTTTCTTTTGGTCTTCCCTGTTTTCTTTTACCCTCTGGTGACCATATAAAGGCTTGGTGGGGAAGTCTCTGTATGTCCATTCTGAGTACGTGACCGATGTAATTCCAGCGACGCATTCTAATAAAATCAGACACATATTTTTGTTTTGTTTCCTGTCTTATAGATGTATTGGACCTAAAGACCGACCAGTGAACATTCAATAGCTTTCGGAGGCATCTGTATTATTGTACATCTGTATCTGAATTATTAATGTAAAAACTCGTGTCCCATGGTGACCCAACTGAACTCCATTAGCCTTGTACAGAGTGTTTTTAAAGTCTTACTACGCTTTGGTTGTAGAATAAAATTCCGAAACGAAGTACATGACCTCATCTCTTATTAAATGTTAATATCATGAATGGGTCAAGTAGAAAGCAATTGATGTCACTGGTGGCACAGGTTTTGAAGAAAAAAGTATATCACAGCATGTGTACATAGTTTATTGTAATAAACGCAAGCAAACATTTCCACCAATCTTTTTCTTTCTTTCTTTCTTTTTTCATTTTCTTCTTTTGAATTCAACTGGCAACTATCCTTAACAAAAAATGTTAAACAATAAAGAGCATACCATGACAGAAAACACTATAAAAAAAAAGAAAACATGACCTCATCAGAAAATGTGCTCCACAATCCGTCGTTAAGTAATATGCAGTGAAGGGCTGTCGTCTGCTAGAGTAATTCTTTGGTGGCAGTGAATCCACATCACTCGCCAGAATGGCAGACTTGGGAATTAAGATCGGCACAGCAAAAAACGAGACGCACACCAGCTACGCCAGAAGACTTGTTAATCAACATAGAACTGGTACTATTAGCCATCGGACGTTGGGGTTCATACTGAGGGGAGGATCTGAGCACCTATGGACATGTCCGGAGTGCAATGAGGATAACCCAACTAACTAACTAACTAACTAATTCTTTGCACCTAAAACAGCATGGTATTATCGAATGAATTTTTTTTTTTTTGTTGAATAAGAATTTCGAAATGGCGGTATATAAAAATGGGTGGTTGTTCAAAAATTTATTGCAAGATTTATCGATAAACAACCTTCTAATGGCATTTCAGTTAGAAATTTGTGGCCTAAGTTATAATAAATATTCCAGTGGTGCTTAGCTCCCCCAGAACAGGATCAGACCACAGCAATAACTATTTTAACTCATGTAAGTCGGCTCTGTGGCTAAGTCGATGCGAACGCTTCGTTTCGTAATGCCGGGATGCCAGGTTCGATCCCAGCTGCGGGCAATGCGCCTTGCGTTGGTTTTGACAGTGGTATCAAGGAAGCCGACCGCCCAGAAGCAATGGCAAACTACTGGACGTAATTTGCCTAGAGAAACCACACAACAGCCAGGGGCTGTTAGGGTTGGTTCTGCAACGTCGTGTAAAGATACGCAACAACATAACGTTTTAGGAATTTTTTTTTTTAAAGACGTCATTTACTTGGGTTTTTCACATTTGTTCTGCATACAAAGTGTAGCGAGACTTTGCGAACAATTTCTATATTTTTTTAAGCTCTATTCCTTGGAATAGAAGAAGTTAAAGTAACAATTTCTTGAGACAGAAAGAGTTAAAGATGAAGTCAGAGGAAGATTAAAAATACTGACTCGTGTAGAATGAGTTAATTGTGGTCGAAACTTTAACAAAGAAAGGTAGATAACAGGTCAGTAATGAACTAGTCAGGTCACATAGATAACACAGGAACATATAAGTTTTGTCCCATATATTCTCATTAGGGATCTGTTCCACTAAGGGACATTTTCATTTATTTTATCTAGTTTCTGCATTGTTTCGGCCAAGGGCGAATTACTTATTTATACAGTGTAAACAGTGAAGGACCCTTTTCAACGCCTTTTAGGCGTATTGGATGGCTAGACCTGGTAATCAAAGTGAGGAATGTGGTAGCAGTGGCTGGAAAATTCTGTAGACCAAACTGCACTTGGTGGGTGATGTGGTCAGCATCACGCCGGCCACCTTTACTTCCCAGGACTGTACCTGGTACCCATTCAAGACTGGATAGACCTCATGCCAATGCCATTTTTGAAAAAAAAAAATTTCTTCCTATTTATACAATGTAACAAATGTATCTGGCATTCTTTTATCGGACTTATTCAGTTAGGATCCGTTGAAAGATCTGTACAGTTTTGTTTGTCCTCGTAACAGTATTTCATTGTTGATTGATTTCATACTGTGAAGCGTCAATACATCTGAAACGAGTTTTTTCCTCTCTCGTAATGTCAAACGATCTCGGATTTCTTTTCTTCGTTCGCTACCTTTCTTTCCCTCCCACTTCCCCACTGTGATAGAAAATTAGACTTAAAAAAAACCCACATAAATAAGAATGCAAATTATAATTAAAAAACAAAAGCAACAACAACAACAAAACAACCTTTTTGTAACTAATCTCTTTGATGTCTTGTGTGTAAAAGTAAAAAAGTCCATTTTCCACGCCTTTAGGCGTATTGGGAATATAGTTCTGGGTCTATATTTTTATAGACCAATCGGTTCTTGGTGGGTGATGTGGTCAGCATCACGCCGGCCACCTTTACTTCCCAGGACTGTACCTGGTACCTACTCAAGGCTGGGTCAACCTGGGAGTTAAAGTCATTTTTGGAAGAAAAAAAAGGTCCGGCTCCGTTTGGACGCGAACTCACGACCTCCCGATCCACAGGCGTCTAGCCGCCAACACCACGGCAACTACTCGCTACGATTACAGAAAGGTAGAGAACTCAGCTTTTATTTCCTTTTTGAAAATATCCTGTTGAGAATTACCTAACGAAGAAAGATTGGTCTATAAAAATATTAATCTAGTGCAAATTTCCCTGCATACCAATGTCATGAAAAGGAACGCTTTACTTTTTAAATTTCGTCATATTTCAGGTTGCTGTTCAACAATCCGGCAATCCAATATTCGCTTCAGATTTCCGGCGTGGATATCGAAGCGTACTTCCAAATAAAAATTATGATTGAAAAGAAAATAAGTAACATTATGATAAATTATGTTATTCACTTGAGTCAAACGTAGAAGGCCAGTATAACTTTTTTTCCGTTAATTTAATTGTTGAACTTTAGAATTAATCTTGCTTCCCATTTACCGTTAAATTTTTTTTTTCTGTAAAGGACCCATTGCTAGTGTTTTTATTTTGTGCTAAAAGGAGAAAGATGTATGCGTTGTGAAGAGAAACCAGAGTTATTTTTCTTTTAAATAAATACAGCATATATAATCATATATAATCACACACAAATCCGGTATTTCACCAATTCAGAACCGGAAGTTGCTGAGCTTTATGTCAACCAATGTTAGTGAGTGGGGTATAAATTAACGATATTTATTCAATAATGTATGCTGTACATTTCGTGTGTGGGAACACAGTCGTTGAGTGCAATGGGGAAATCAGGAAGGGAATAGGAATTCATGTGGGAAAAACGATTACAGAAAGGTAGAGAAATGTGCGTCTAGGTAGAAGTCGAATAAATACATGTAGTGGCCACATCGGTCCTAAAATCACTTCCTCTTCTTCCTCGTGTGGGCTCCGGGACCCAGTTGTGGGGAAAACAAGAATAGACCTACTGCCTACCTAAAAGTATGTCGTAAGAGTCGACTAATTGGGAGCTTCCTTCGAAGACGGAGTACATCTACCTGAGAGGCAAGGAATCAACAGTCTGCATGCAAATGAGTTATACCTGTGAAACAGATGTACACGCGACACTCAGGTTCTGGAACATGACTAGAGTCTAGAAGTGGACAAACAACCAGAACTTTACCCCGGGAGGCAAAGAAGCATTTATCTACATATGAATAAGTCAGACATGTAAAACAGATGTGTGGACGCAAAAAGCAAGTTTCTGAGTATGACCAAAGTCCATAAGTGGACGAAGAACCAGGATTGTCCATCGGAGTTTACAACCACTGAACGACATCCTTGTGGGTAAACAACCGGCAGAGAGCGAGTTATCAATGTCAGTTATGTCGGAAATAAAAGCTACGACTAAAAAGTTCAAAGCTGAAAAAAGATTTTGGTGGAAACGTTCGTTAGTACTTTAATGCGTATTCTCTCTCTCTCTCTCTCTCTCTCTCTCTCTCTCTCTCTCTCTCTCTCTCTCTCTCTCTCTCTCTCTCTCTCTCTCTCTCTCTCTCTCTCTAGTGTGTCTCTCCCTCAACCCCCTCTCCCCCCCCCCCCCCCCCCCCGCATTTTTTAAAGCTTACTAGTTAATTAAATATGTGTTCAATTTCTTCTCAAGAAACTCGAAGCATCTTTTTTTTTTGTAAACAATTTCTAGACGTTTCTGAAGAGATAAAAACTTTGTTGAATCACTGGGCGTATTCTACCCCGAAATCTCGATCGTAAATTTTAAACTGATGTTTCCACCCTTTGTAACATATCCCCTTTTCTTGAGATCACTTGTGGAGAGTTCTCCAAGATACCACTCATTCCCGCCATTGAAATCACCAACAGCCCTTCCCACGATCAATTCCTGCAGTTTTTCTGATTTGTCTAAAACATGAGCGGTGCATTCAAACTTTGTGTTTCTTTGTAAGGAATTTCTGCTAAAACTGTGTCCAAACTCGCCGACAAGCTTCAAACGCATGCGCCCGTCTTTGTGACCGACAACAGATCCGTGAGTCTTGTAATCAAGGTGAGGAATAAGATAGCAATGGCTGGAAAATTCTTTCTGACTTTTCGAAAAGTGGTCTACATTTGTAACCTCCCACTCGAAAGAATGGACGAGAACCTGTGTGGGGTTTGGATGTTGCTTTCTGGCTGCAGTGACAATCTCCCTGCGAACCTCTAGAATCTGCTGCCCCAGATGGTCCGAATTCTCGGAAAACTTTAAAAGAAGCCTGTCCATGGAATCCTGAAGTTTCTGAGAAGAATCCATAACCAGTGTCATCAAGGTAGTGTTAATTTCTTTGAGTGAAGCTATTTGACTTGCTATGTCAGTTTTAAACTGGTTGAAGTCTTCAAGTAGACGATTATGCTGTTTTTCTATTGATTCAAGACGGCCTTCGGTGTCATTTGTAGGAAGGATCTGGGGAAAAAAATTAAAAGAATTCTCTTTATTCTTGAAGTTAAAAACTAAACAGTAAGAAAATGTTTATATTTTTGCTCTAGTTCCACTTCTCTTTTCATATCCTTAAAAAATGCGTCTCCACCCCTACCCTTTTTCTTTCTGCGGGCCCCTTGCCCAGCCCATGTCCTTAATTAAAGTAACGGACACGTATTATTGGGGGAAGGGAAGGGGAAGGGGATCAATTCATTTTTGTTTAAGAAATCATATATATTATAATCATCAGAACTTCTGATGCGAAAACTGTGATGTGTGTCATTTTGCGTTAACGTTCTTTCTCTTTTTAAAATTACATGGTCAAATTAGTCTATCTCGCAATCCTGAAGTGAAACAACACACGGTCTTTAAGCGGAAACGATATAGAAAGATTATTAGAATAACCATATATATAGAACAAAAAAAACAAAAACAAAAAAAGAAACAAAAACATTATACAAAATATGAACATCGAAAAATTAGGCTTGTAAACAGCACCTTGACTTGAAATGCGACATACTGTACTTTGACCGTATCAATTTCACAGTGGCATGGAAAGACCACTAGTGGAGGGTTAGATCTGGGATATAAGAGATATCTGATGTACAAATAGTGCATGTGGGAAGGTTTTTTTGTTTTTTTTTAACAAAACAAAAAGTCATCCCCCTTATGGGATGCAATTTTTTTCGTTATTTTGAAACCCCAATCCGGCTGTTTTCAGGGGTGGCAATATACCTAACGGTTGAACGGTGTTTCCGGGACATCTCCACGGGTGATCCTCATCCGTATGGTGGCACTTTGTGCCACCGGGTGTTTATCCCTCAGTGTGATGTCCTGGTGGGGTAAAACTTACTTACTTACTTACTGCGTGTGGCGGGATAACTCCTGGGGAACGGAGTTTATTTCACGTGGAGTATGATGGCAGCTACCTTCTGTAAGGGACCGTGAGAAAGATGAACGGGATCATACGAAAACTGTGAGGTACTCAGTAACAACCTCAGTGCAGTAGCTATTGGAAACGGGTCCTTTGCTTGAAAAAAAAAATTTAATTTTTAATTTTATTACATAAAGTTTAACAAAGATTTTTTGTAAACTGTTTTTGGTCGTAATCAGTATAGCACATTGGTGTTTTTCCAAAGATTTTATTGAAACAATTCAGGTAAATATCACATTACCATTGGAGTGACTTCCGCGTACAAGTGGGGATCTTTCTCTGGTCCTTCTTGGCTCACGTGATCATACGTGGCCTGTCCTTTGCCATCCGTTATTTTGATCAGAGTCTGTGAAAGATTATTTTTAATTACATTATATTATAGATAATTTTATCATTTATATAGTTACTAAATGATAAATCATATAATAGTTCACATTTTAATAATTATTAATTGAAGTGTAAGAACGTATGTAAGTTGTACCCCACCAGTATATAACACACAAGCGATAAACACCCGGTGACACAAAGTGCCACCATGCGGATGAGGATTACCCTCGAGAGGTCCCAGGAACCCCTTTCAGCCGTTAGGCCATATTTCAGGCTGGCTATATTTAGGACCCCCGGAAAAAGCCAGGGTGGGGCTTCAAAACAACTAAAAATTACATCCCACAAGGGGATGACGATACTTAATTGGGTAACATAGATTACCACATCCATGAACGCAAATGAAAAAAAAATTATTTACATTCTTGGCATTCTGGCTCAGTTTGTAGAGAGGCTATATTTCGATGTTAACTTTTCACTAAATAACAATTAATTAAACTGCCAGCTAACTAACAATCCAGCCGGACATTTAACTATCCAACTGATTAGCCATCACTTACACAATCAACAATCAAATATTTGATTTGATTTGATTTGATTCAAGAACCGATATCACAGCACTCGGGGCATTCCCATAAGCGCTCCGTCCCCATCTTCAGCAGCCAGCGAAGAGTTCCGATACTAGTGGTGCCAGTAGCTTTCTGATTAAACGTCCGTCTTGCCTTTCCTCTGAGCCTTCACCTGGCGTAAGCAGTCCCAGGCCATAATCCACCACTGACAGGATTAGGTTCTGATATAGTGTGAAAAGCATTCTCTGCTCTATGTCCATTGCAGCCATAGTCTTAAGTGCACTAAGTCCTTTTATGGCATCTCGTCACAACACTCTCCACATGGTCCTTAAATGACAGGCTCCTGTCAAATGTGATTCCCAGATACTTTAGTTTGCTCTCTCTGTTGACTTCTCTACCATCTATCGTAAGACTTGGGACATTAGTTTTAACGATTCTGTTGTCCAGAGAACACCACAAAACAGACGCCTTTCCCGGGTGGACGACAGCCGTCATTTCTGTACACCACTTAGTCACTTTGTCTACTGTTGAAGCTCCCGGGCTATTTGCTCCCTCTCTTCCCCCTGCCTATATGCAAGTAAATCATCCGCAAAAGTCAGTATCCTTCCAACTCCTGGTGCTTCTAGGCTTGCAATCTTGCTCGTATACACATTGAAGACCACAGGCGGGATGGCGGATCCCTGTGGCAGTCCTGGGGCCAAGGTGCATGGTTCAGAGGTCCATGAGCCCAGTCGGAGAGCAGCCCGACGTGAATACAGGACAGCTGCAACCCAATTCACCAGCCTTGGATTGACCTCCTTCTCCTTTAGTGCAGTCATTAAGATGTCGTATCTCACTCTGTTATAAGCATCCTCGAGATCCAGTCCTACCGCCGTAGTTTCCTGTCTGTTCTGGAACCCTTCATAGACGTCAAAAGCAAAAGTGGCCGCATTTGCCCAAGTGTCCTTTCCTGGCCTGTAACTTTCCCAGACCTCTTGAGAGAAGCTTCCCTCTTTCCAAAAATTCTTGTAACTTTACAGCAACTATCTTCTCCAAGACCTTCCCAAAAGTGTTTTGTAAGATGATGATTCTAAAGCCACTAAGCTTAGAATGATCTTTAAAAGGTTTTGGTAGTGGATTAGATAGCTGTGCATCCAGTCTTGCGGTACTGATGCTGTCTTAATACTCTAGTTAAAACAGTCGGCCATCTCTGCCAGGTCTACATCGCTCAAAGCCTTCATGTGACTATACCTGACTCCATCAGGCCCTGGTGCAGTGTCTTTTGCTTTTTTCAAAATTTGTTTGATATCTTCCACCTGTATCATGTCTTCATAATGCATATTCTTCAAGGTGCCAGCTAACTCCTTTCTAACTGCATCTCTGATGTCTACATCATTATGATCTGTCTGAGCTATAAACCTATGGAGAAAAGCCTCCCCTTTCTCCTTGTCTATTGTCACACACACACCATCGTCTCTACAAATTGTTCCGATTGTCATAGGCCGATCTTTTTTTTTTTTTTGCATCTGCCTTTGCAGTTTCCAGAATTTCCCCAATATTTTATCGCCTCCCATGTCATTCACAAAAAGCCAAAAGTCCATTTTGACGAACAACCGCGACTTACCGCCGGAATTCACAGCCGGTGAACAAGAAAAAGAAGAAGAAGAAGAATTCACAAAACTTTCCCACTTTGCTCTTTTGGCCTCTGCAGCACAGCGCTTGAAAATCTCCACCTTATCTTTTTTCACATTCTCCGCTATCTCCACTTCCTCTCGTGACCTTGAGGGTGTCTGTCGTACTTTCTTTAGCTGCTTCACTGCGGCTCAAATATTTGATGAACTTACTTACTAATCTACCAGCCACCTAATCAACCATTTAACTAAGTGCTCACTTCCTCCACAAGAAGCGTGACGTAAGAGTCGACTAATTGGAAGCTTCGTTCAAAGGAGTGCGTTTGCCTGAGAGACAAGGAAGCAACAATGTGTATACAAATAAGCAAAATCTGAAAAACGGATGCACACGCGAAACTCAGGTCCTGGAACAAAGCCGAAGTCCAGAAATGGACGAACAGTCGAGTCTTTCAGTCTGGGATTATAGCCGGTGAACGCAAACAAGAACAAAAACAACTAATTAAGTAGATAACTAGCCAATCAAATAGCTAACTAATAAATTAACCAAATAACTAGCTAGCTAATTAACTATGCAAAAACCTGATAGATTAAAGAACTAGCTGACTAACTAGCTTTTAACTTATCAACTAACTAATTAGCTAGCTAACTGACTGGCTGATGAGCTTACAAACCGATCAACCAATCAACAAACAAACCAGCTATACAACTAACCAACTAATCCTGCAACTAGCCAACTAACTGACCAAATAATTAACCTACTAATGAATGAATCCGCCTACCAACCAACCTACCTTTCTACTTATATACCACCTGACCTACAAGTAAGCAAACAACTAACTAATCAACAAACATGCCGACTATTTAACCAACCTACCTACCTACCAACTAACTAACTATTCAAGCAACTAATTAATTTATTCACCTACCAGCTAACTAACCAAGCAAACAATTTAATTTACCCGCTCTCTGTTTGTGTTCTGGAGCCCCGTTGTTGGGAAAACAAGAATAGACCCACTGCCTCCCAAGCAATGATGTCGTAGAAGTCGACTTATTGGGGGGGGGGGGGGGGTAAACGAAGTCAGAGTGCGTCTGCCTGAAAGGCAGGGAACCAACAGTCTGTATGAAACTATAACAGGTCTGTAAAACGGATGTGCACGCAACAAGCAGATTCTGGAAGAAGACTACAGTTCAGTAGTGGATGAACAGCCATAACATAAAGAAGTCTAAATAATTTACCCGCCTACTAACTTAAAAACTAATCAATCAAATAGCAATCAAATAGGTAACAAACGAACGAACGAACGAACGAACGAACGAACTTTATTTTCAAAGGGTTACAAATTGGGCACGCAGGCCCGTCTGACATTCGGCCCGTCTGACATTCGGCACAAACAAACCAACAAGCTAAATAACCATAAAACCTACAAACTACATAGCCAAACAACCAACAAACTAACCAACACATCTACCAAACAACCAACAAACTAACCAACACATCTACCAAACAACCAACAAACTAACCAACACATCTACCAAACAACCAACAAACTAACCAACACATCTACCAAACAACCAACAAACTAACCAACACATCTACCAAACAACTAACTAACTAACCAACACATCTACCAAACAACTAACTAACTAACCAACACATCTACCAAACAACTAACTAACTAACCAACACATCTACCAAACAACTAACTAACTAACCAACACATCTACCAAACAACTAACTAACTAACCAACACATCTACCAAACAACTAACTAACTAACCAACACATCTACCAAACAACTAACTAACTAACCAACACATCTACCAAACAACTAACTAACCAACACATCTACCAAACAACTAACTAACCAACACATCTACCAAACAACCAACTACCTAACCAACACATCTACCAAACAACTAACTAACTAAGCAACTAACCAACTAACTCATCAAACAGTCAATCCACTGACTAACCAACAATCATGTCTACATATCCATATAGCTGAGTCAGTAACTAACTAAATAAATGTGGTGTCAAACAAACCTTTGATGGTGAATATTTGCACCTGGCGCTGCCTTCCATCTCTGCTAGAGCCAGGTGCCGTGGTAGCCGTCAGCTGAGACGCCGACATTGTATTGGGTATTAAGTGAAGACGGTGAGTAGCATCACTCAGTTAATATCTCAGTGGAAACCTCTTGATGCTGATGTTGAAAGCTGTCACCTTACTTGTTTTGTGTTTTTTTTTTTTAAATTAAAAAGGTGTGAAAAAAGGGGGGGGGGGGGGATGAGAGAAAGATAAGTTTATTCGGAAATTACACATTATGACCTTAATACTAAAAAAAATTAATTATATAACCGAGGGATAAAGCATCCGTATTGTTGTATGTAAGGGATGCATAAAGTAAGTAAGTAAATGTTACCCCATCAGAACGTCACACTGAGCGTTAAACACCCGGTGACACAAAGTGCCACCATGTGGATAAGGATCACCCGTAGAAAGGTACCGGAAACCCTGTTCAACCGTTAGGTAATATTAACATCCCCCCCCCCCCAATCCAGCAACAGCCAGGGTGGGGCTTCAAAATAACGAAAAACTTCATCCCACAAGGGTACCACTTTTTTTTTTTTTTTAAACGCTCTTTATAGGAGGGAACAAAAAAGTGTGATAGTCTGGGTCGCTAAAGTAGGCCAATGTGTCTAAATAGGCGAAGGCGCCGGAACCCTGAAGAATTTAGCACCTTTAATACCGGCTCTAATTTGTTTTAGATGAATAAGCTGCGCGGGCCCCCGCCGGGGGGGGGGGC